GCATAGCATAATTAAAAACATAAATAATATCAAATAAAAATAACATAAATAAGTGATTTAATAATCTGGCAAATCGTTTTATGATTCGTTAAGACCTGTGAAGTATTGCCCAAACCGAGAAGATTGAGAAAGAGCTTGTTGATCTTGTTACTCAGCATTTCGTTTTGATATTTTTTGCACTTGTTGAGCTTGAATATACGCACGGACATTCGGATCTTGTATGGAACTCAAATCACAAAATAAATTTTTGTTTTCTTCTTCCAGTGCTATCATGACTACATGTACAATTTTACAAAACATGATAATTGAGGATGAGCATGAACTTGATGCACCAATTGAACTTGGAAGAGAAGTTCCACCTCCAAATATCAAAATTGCAGAAGATGAAAATGTCTGATTTCAAAATTTTCTTACTCGATTTTGGAGTATCAAAGATAAAGAAGTTCATTTTTCATTACGAAATGCATTAGTAGATCATTTGTGGAAAAAAATTTCTAATGCTCACTATTGAACCAGTTTATATTGTGTTTTATTGTATTTTTATGATTTCTTGTACTTTTTAATAAGAAATTTTTAATTTAATAAATTATATTTTAAGGCATTTTTATAAACATAAAATAATTGGGGTTAATAGGTAAAGTTTTATAAATATAAGGTATTATTAACAATTATTAATTATTTTGAAGTGAAAAATTGGATTAATACATTGAAATAAAAAACCTAGGGTTGTTCAATATGGTAATACCGAACCGAACCGAACCGAAATAGACAATATGGTTTGGATTAGGTATATACCATATAAACCGAATGGATATGATTTTATAAAAACCGTAGGACTTGGATATGGTTAGGTTTATAACCTATTAAACCGAATAAACCGATCAAAACCGATCAAAGAAAAAATATATAATTATATACATTATATAACCATTTATTTTTTTGGAATAGTCTCTTTTTTTTTTTACTTTTTTATACCTTGTGAAGATATATCTTAATAATTTTATTTTATTTTCTTCAAATATTATCTAAATTTGATTTGATTTTGCATGTTGTAAGAAACTGTTAAATTAGATAGTACCATGTAATTTATTTGGAAGAACAAAGAGAAAATAAGAAAAGTTGTACAAAACTGAATCGTTGGTCGTTTTGTTTGTTGTTAATTTCACATTTTTATATTTATGAGCACCTAGGATTATTTTAATAAATGATAGTTTTGACAATATGTTTTTTTTTAATTCGTATAATATGAAACCAAATCAAATAATAATGTTATTTAGTATAAACCCCGAATAAACTAAAAACCGGTAGTATAAATACCGAACCAAACAAAATTAAATATGGTTCTAATATGGTAGCTAATTTTTATAAACCGAATAACCAAAAATCGAAAAAAAACGAACCGAAACCGGACCGAACATCAGATTGAACAGGCCTAAGTAAAATCTTACTCCATTTTATAATTGCACCATTTTGAAGTAAAAGTATAAAGTAATACATTGGAGATGCTTTTACTCTTATAGATTCATTTCCATACAATATATTTAAATTACATAATAAATAAATTTATATGGTTTAAAAGCTAAAAGTTATAATCTCTTTTAGTTCATCACCCCGGATTACCACCTAGTTAAAAGTTAAAAGGTAGGTATTGAGAAATTGACATTAGTGGATGAATTAATACACGTAAAACATGTTTTGCAAACTATTTACAAGTTCATCATCTTTTCCTTTTCTTTAGCAAAAAAAGAAAAGAAAAACTATTTACAAGTCATAAGTCACGTGTTCCTTATTTTCTTAAATGAGAAAAAAAAACGAAAAGAAAAGATAAAAGACATGAAATGGTAATGAGCTTGGAAGTGAACACATATACTTATCGAAATATGTAACCGAAAAGATGTGCTAAGTGTTTTGATGTTTGGTCTACTTTATTAGTTACGACACTGAGTCACGGACCATTTAGCCCACGACATGATGGCATGACCTTATAAGGAAGTACTTATCTAAGAAAAACAATTTTCAAAAATGTACTTATTAAACCATAAATTACTGGAAGGATGTTAACTTGGTGGGTAAATACTCTCTCTGTATTTAAAAAAAAAGTAAATAATGTTTTAGACATTTCACATATATTAAACAATTAAACACACTTTTTTCTGTATTACTCTAATTTTATTTCTAATGAGTTTAATATTAATTTATTTCCTAATAAAGATTAGCTATTTTTAATATATTTTGATTTATCTCACTTTTTAAAATAAATGCATTAGTTAAATCTATAACGTATCTCTTTTAAATACAAACAAAATCTAAAACAACAATTATTTAAATCTGGAAGGAGTAATTAGCACACATTATTTTCATTATGACAAGTGTAATTTTAACAAGGGACAGTTCTGATTTTACTATAAAATGATACCAATTTTCAAGTTTACATTAAGAAAATGAACACATTCAAAAGACCCTAAATTTGTGATAAAAATCTAAACTAATCCTCCTAAACTATTTATAAATATTTAATAATCATTTACAAAATATTTATAGAAGGTTAGAAACTTAACCTCGTGCACTAAATACTAAACCCAAAACAATAATTAATAAATCCTAATTTCAAATGTCTTGATATTTTTAATTGAATATATTATTAAAATGATATACAAGTTATGGTATTTTATCAGTTTCTCTCTTAACAACTTATATTTATGGACTTGAGTACAACTTTGTTTTGAGAACAAACAAATCCAACTGAAGCTATAGTCCTCAATCATTTTTTGTTTTTGTTTTTGATTTTGTTTTTCTTTTTGTTTTTGTTTTTTGTTTTTGTGTGTGGAATTCTATGTAAAACTTGAAGTTGCTTTATATAGCAAAGCATCCTTTTGGGTGTGGATTCTACTTTTACCACAAATTTGATATCGTTTTTTTAAGTTACTATTTAAAAACAATAAATATTCTATATACTTTTAATTTTGGGCAATTCTTTCTGATAGACATTTTTAAGTTTTTGTCACAAAAATAGAATTCAAAAACTAAAATGACTAAAATAGTATTTTTATTTTGAAAATTTTAATATTTATAATTTTTAAAAATTTGAAATCCTATCCCCACAACCCCACTCCTCAACTCTAAATCATAAACCTTACCTCTAAACTCTAAACCCTAATGTCTAGATTATTTAACCCTAGGGGTATAAGTGTATATTTACATCTTTTGATAAAACATTTAAGTCTTGATCATTTTTATTTTAAGGTTTATATTTGTAACAAAATGTTTTTAGGTTTATCATAAGGAATTTTTCTTAAATTTTTGATGAACCAAATTAAATTAGCCCTCATAAATAATTTATAAATATTTAATAGTCATTTATAAAAATTTAGAAACTTAATCTTATGTTTAAATACTAAATCCTAAACCATAATCATTAAACCATAAACCCAAATGTTAGAAACTACTCTATTAAAATAGAGTCATTATTTTTATCTACTGATACAAGTTGTCATTTAAATTTGGACTCTTTCTAGAATGTTACAAATAATATAAGTCATATAATTGATTGAACCGTATTACTTAAATTAAACCAACAAAATTAATGTAAAAAGACGACCTTAATGTAAACTACATTCACAATACGGCAGATATCTATGTGTATACCAAAAACACATATTTTCTCCTACAAATATGGAATGTTCTAAAAGAATATATATCATCAAAATATGAAATATGGAAATCTACTAATTATACTTAAATTAAACAGTGGTTATTTATGTAATATAGTTTTGAGCTTACTTTTATCTTTTGAACAAATTATATAGTTTGGTTTTTGCGCTTAGTATTAAGAAAAATCTTCAAAAACATTGAATAAACTTTTCACCTTAAAAGATCAAAAAATAAATTATTATTTTCAGATCCAAAAGGTATTTAATATTTTTAACTAAACAAAATTATCCATTATTAATCAGTTATTTAAATCATGTACTTTAAAACATGTTAATATAAATTTTTATTTTAAATAACAATCACTTTGTTTTGATAAATTTCAATGGTAACTTTTAAATAATTTATTGTTTTATTTTTCTTAAATAATTTACTGATTAAAAAAATGTAAAGCAAAATCAAAAACCAAATCTAAAAACTAAAATCCAAAACCAAAAGTTGAAAACACATATTATATTTTTTTGCTTTGTTTATTTACAAAATAAACTATTTCAATTTTTTTTTTAAAAATTGTTTTCATCTTTTAAGTTTAAAATTAGATGTTCGATTATTTGAGATTTGTTTGTTTGTAATATTTGTTCAAACTAACTCAGCGGGTTTAAAAATTAAAAACTCAAACCAAAAAATAAAAATGAAAAATAGAAACTTAAAAACTAAAAGCCAAAATCCAAAATCTAAAAATAAAAACTGAAACTAAAAACTAATGAAAAACAATCACCACCACAAATTTTGGTGAACTGATTTTATATCAAAATATTATTTAATTTATGACAAAACCAATTATATAAATTTTTAATCAAAAATTTTCCGCGCTTTTAAGCGCGGGTCAAAATCTAGTATTTCTTAAAAGTGATAACAGATGGTACGTCAAGCAATTTTTTTATGTATTCCAATCGCTTAAATCAGATGGCGTTAATAGCACAACTCTATTTGTTTTTGTTTTTGTTGTTTCTAGTTTTTTTTGTAAGAAATCAAATATCAAATTTAGTATAATTTTATCTCTAATAAAAAAATTACACCATCCTACCAAATTTGATGTTTTATAAATGGTGTTACAATAATCACATCAAATATTAAAATAATGTATTGTATTATTTTTAATTTAACTATAAGTAAATTCGTATTATTGATAATTTTAAATTATAATTATAAGTAATATTTTACTTTTAAAGTTAACAAATTTTAACAACTAAATAGAAAATATAAATATCTTAAATTATAATTAGTCAATTACAAATAACTAATCTATTAAATTATTAGAATTATAAAATTAAGAATACTTAAGGTTTGTCGGCCAAACGCGGTGTTTTATATAAGAGAATATAAACTCATCACAATGCTCCATATCTTATTTTATTATTGAGATTCTTTATTTAGTACACAAAGGTAGGTATACGTAGCTCCTTACATATGGAGCAAGTAGAAAGAGGAGATATGAAGATGATCTTGATGAGGTAAACAAAGTGGATTGGATCTTTCACGCATCTGCCAACTTCTTCTTCTCAAAGGTGAGGCTGGAGCGCAGAAAATCTTTCTTGGCAAGGTTCTTGGTGGTAATGAACTTCTTATACCATAAGCCAGAGTCTTTGGGATCTCTATCGGTGACATTATTCCAGTCAATGTAAGTGAGTCCGAATCTGACGGTAAATCCATTTCCGAATTCATAATTATCCCCAAGAGACCACGCACAGTATCCTTTCACCTTGACACCTCTCTCCCTAGAAGCAGGAATAGTGAAACATTAGAGGTCATATCATACGTACATACATGTATATATATAAAACACAAGAAGGAAAAGAGAGAAGCATCAACTCACTTGATGACTTTACTGAGAAAACAGAGATGACTGCAGAGATAATCAATCCGCTTTGAATCATGCATAGCCTCCTCACGGGTTTCAGTACCGGAAGTAATGAATCCTAGTTAAACCGTCATAACATGAACAATTTCAACCAATTTCAAATTACATTTACCATGTAGAGATGAATTTAGAGATGTGTAGTAGAACCCACCGTTCTCGGTTATATAGATTAAAGGGTCACTGTAATTGGTTCTGAAGTAATCCAGCACATAGTATATGCCTTTTGGGTAGTAATAGATGCTGTTGAAGAACTTAGAAAGAGAAGCAGAAATAATATCAGAAAACTGAATTTTGCTTAGAAAAAAAATATGAAAGAATAGGGGTGGATGATGCATATATACCAGTGGACCAATGGTATGATTACTTGCATTGCGAACTGTTAACACAAATAATTGATGGTCAAATTATTGTAATTAACAAAAGGCGATAGGTAGATATAAATTAAGGTTGTAACTAAGTGAAAATATATAGATGGATACATGTGAGCTTTGTGCCAGCGTCCATCATGGCAGTGTGACGATCCCAATCAACATGATTAGGACTTGGACTTGGCTGGACATATTGAGTGTAGTAGTAGTTGAGACCAAGAAAATCATATGAACCCTTTACGAGTTTGGATTCCTCTGGAGTGAACGATGGAAGCCGATCACCCACAGTGTCTATCATGCTTTGAGGGTATGTACCATTTGTTAGTGGCCCCATGAACCTGGTGTACATACATATTTTCGTCAGTTCATATATACAACATATACTAATGTTATGAAAATCATTTTATTTTATAAACATATACCATCCCAAGAAGAATTCTTTCATCCTCTTGGTTGCATTTATGCAGTCTCGATCAGTGTCATTGTATGGAAGAAACCATCTAGTTATCATCACCGGTCCAATCTTACCTCCTTGATGCAGCTGTCGTCACGTAGATATATACAAAATGATATGATTAATTTAGAATCAGATATGTTAATATACATCTTTCACAAAATGTAGAACCAACCTTATATTTTGTCCTGTAAAGATCGACCACCGTGGCATGAGCAAGGAGTTGGTTATGTGCAACGATATAGGGTTCCGTTGAAGAATTTCAGGCGTAACATCTAGGATCAACCTTTGGAGAACATCGACCAGGTGCATCTGATCCTGATCCATAGCCTCTCGTAGGCACTGAGTAGAGCTGGTTGATTGTGAACCAGTGCTGTACTCTATCACCAAATTCTTCGAAACATAGATCCGCGTAATCTCTGAAATCATCTCTGCGAATATTATAGATTCATTTCATTAATCCAAGAACAAATCTTTATACATATAATGCCGTCTTTCTTAATAAGCAGCATGGTATAAATATAACATACATGATCTGGCGATCCAAGAAACCTTCATAATCATCTTGTAGTACTTGAGGAACGTCCCAGTGAAAGAGCGTAACTAAAGGCGTTATACCCTTTTCGAGGAGGCGATTTATGAGTCCGTTGTAGTAGTCAATACCTCCTTGGTTCACTCCCCTGCTCCTCTTTCCTCCTGCTCATATGGATCGTATATTTAATCTTTCGAAAGAATCACAATCGAATATTACCATATATGATATATATCTATACATGGATCAATAACGTTCCCATACTTGGAATGATTCTTGACCAGGCAATGGAGAATCTGTAGCCATTAGCTTTGAGTTCGTCCAGCACCTCAACATCTTTCTGCAGTTCACATACAATCGCAAGTCAATCCATACTACGTTGGTAACTCATAGATAATTCAGTGAGTAATACGCCCTTTGTTTCTGAATGTAAGTAGTTTTAGGTGATGATTATTTTCCTAGTTTCTAGATTTTGGTTTCTTGGTTTTAGATTTAGATTTTTAGTTTTTGGTTTTTGATTTTGCATTAAATTTTAATTTTTGGAAAAAACATGAATGGTTTTTTTAGATTTTAGTATTTGCTTTTTAAATTAAAAAAATGAATTTTTATTAACAATAAAATTTTATTCTGAAAAATAAATATATAATACTATCATCACAACACACATAAAATGATTTAATAAAAAAATTAAATAAAATAATTAAATTCATTTTATTGATAAGTTAATAATTTTGTAATGATTCACTTCAAAATAATTAAATTTATTTTATTGACAAGTTAATTGTTTTTTAATACAAATTGTTTTGTAGTTACATCACTTTATTAATAGCTATACTTGTAAAAGAAAAAAGAATTACACTCTAGTAAATGCCTTAGCTATACGTGTTCAAGGGATATTATCATCAACAATTATGTGATAAGAACGTAGTACAAAACATATATTAGCTTTGTGGTGATAATATCTTTATCATCAACAATTAATTAGTAGAACATAAACTAATGGTGATAATATTTTTTTTTCCCTAAAACCACTTATGCTATGAAACAGAGGGATTATTAGTTAGCACACACACATATTCAGTAATTTAATTACCTCCCAATACGAATATGAGTCACAAGTAGTGTCTCCATTTCCATGATCGGGTCCAGCTTTATCTGATAGCAAACAAATACATTACTATAAGTGAATGGAGACATATATATAATCGACATAATATGTATATGTGATGAGTAACCAATGCAAAAAACGAACCGGGGAACCGGTGGGTGAAGCCATCCCAAACGTTAAGTCCACGATTTATGGTACCTTCGATCTGAAATGAAGAGAAACAACCATGCAACGTTGGATTTTAATGTTTATATATGATGTTATTAATACGTTAAATATGACGTCTGGCGCATTTACATATATAATACTAATGGTTGATATGTTACATGCCTGGTAAGCAGAAGATGCAAGACCGAAGATGAAGTCTTTATCGAAACTGCTACTGTTGAAACGATCAGTTTGACCACATGTGAATGGCGGGTTCTCTTCGCAAGTAATTTCTTCATGAGCTTTGCAAGTCGCCAAAGCTAATAGAAAAGCTAATATGAGCCAAAGATGCTTCATGGTTAATTTGTAGATGTGTATGTTGTGCTGTATGGAACCTTGTGCCAATCTAGGGTTTATATAGCCATTACAAGAAGGGTGACGTATGCATTTTCTTCTCTTGATATTTTGGGAGAGGGTTAGGTGACATGAAACCCGTGGCTTTTGACAGAGGCTTGCTCTTCAATCGATCATTTCATTAAGGAAACTTTGGACTATCTTTTTATCTCAATTGTGATTGCTAGATTACGATCATTTTTTTGAAGTTAATCTGTAAATAACAATGGGGTAGATTTATTTATAGAACGACAAACGTACTTTTTTGAGTTTCTTAACAATTGAGGTTTCTCGAATACTCTTTCTTATCAAAGAGAGTTTTTAGATCCTAGTCCTAAAATGCATGGCATGTACGTGATTTGCAAAAAAAAACACACTTAACGTACAAATAACGATTCGTTAATTGATCGGTCAACGGTGATACGATACAACATGTGTCAAAGCTATTTTTGGTAAAAAAGCATGTGTCAAAGTTATGCGCAATAGTAGACAAACATGTCTCAAGATTCCCTGTAGTAAAGTTCCAACAAAACGTTTCCTTGTAGTAGATGATGTTAAATGCCTCCTACGTTTACGAAAAAACAAAGCTGCCTACGTTGGACTTGGAGACTTGGAGTTAGAATTGACGCCATAAGTTATTGAAAAAGTCTGCAATAATAGTATCAAGTACCCTCCAGTCTGGAGTAACAATGGCTTGGTTAAGAAAAAAAAAACAATTATCATGATGAGCCTCACCGCTGATTACCATCACCGCATATCTTTTTTTTTGTATTTTCGTTGCTCCATGCTTTATCACATGAAACCAGAGATTCTTCTCTCCAACCGACAAAATAAAAACAGAGACGCAAGACCAACCAAGGGCGGACATATGGCTGAAGGGTGTGTGGCATGTGCCCCACTCTATATTATTGTTCTCCCATACATAGTTAGCACTAAACTTATCTAAATTCTCTTGTCCTAAGAAAAGTAAAAAACTTATCTAAATACTCATTTAAACTCAACATTAGTGTTGACAAAAAAAAAACTCAACATTAGTTACGAGAACTGGTTATGTGCCCCCATGCCAAAAACAATTTTTCTTCCGGCCCTGAAACCAACCCTATATATAAAATTTTAAAATTCTTATTGAATCGTAGATGTTATTCATCAACTTCGGTGATTGAAAGTGCAAGACAATAATGATACAACAGAAGTAAAATATACAACTATAAAAACTTATTTATATTATACTACAAAAACTTATATACCATCAAACCTTCAAAAGACATAAAAATTTGTTTACATATAAATAAAAAACATTACAAAATGCCTTAACTATAACTTTTAACTACTATATATAGTCAAATATAAATTTCAAATATATCATACATAACATTTTAACAAAACTTCAACTGTTTATTTTATATTAATTTAGATCATTATTAACAAAATCAGTTAAGATTCTTTTCATAAGTTTTCTAAGATTATAAAATAGAATAATCAAAAATAGAGAATACGTATTATAAATACGTAGAACAAAGACATGGAGTTAGAATATAAACTATAATCTAGTTAGGAAAAAAAAATGGTAAACCATTCCTTGAATAGAGAATGTGAAACCTTCGATGGCCATGCACTGTGATAATCTGAATGATAATATGAGTGTAGACAGATTCGAACTCAGGCCCGGGGATCCATGGAACGTCGTGCTACCACTTGACCACATACACATGGTTTAATCTAATCTGGTTAGAATATACTATACACATAGTCACATAGAAACTAGCATTTTTGTTTAAGAAAATGAATAGAGAAAAAGATAGAACATAAGTTAATATTTTGAGTGTCTTCTAAAACACAATGAAAATCCTACAATATATATTGTATGTGGTAAATAAAAGAGAGTTACATTTATAACAGAAACGAAGTATTTTATATTTGATAAATTATATAGAATTGTTTTCAATATGTATAATAACATGTTTAAAACATATAAGCTAAGTTAGAATATATATTTTATCCTTGTAAAAAACGGTTATTATATATATATATATAATCTATATCAGAAATACAATTTTTGTTAAATTTAATTTTCGTATAGTAAAACATGTAAAAATACACTTGATTTTATACTTTTCCTATTTTATGAGTAATATACATTTTTATAATGTTATTTATTAATATAAGGCTAAATATGTCCAATATTGAAATTAATGGAAACATATACATGGGAAAATTTATTTAAATATGACATATTTTGTCAACTTTCCATTTTTTTTATTAAGATCCAACATCTCATTAAGTTACAGTTGTAACAGAAAAAGACATATTCTATATATGATAAATTATAGAGAAAATTTTACAATATAAATATAATAACATGTTTAAAATGTAGTAGAGAAGTTAAAATATATATAATATCCTTGTAAAAATGGTTATAATATATATTCTAGAATATCTATATCAGAAATGCAATTATATTTTTAATTTAATTTTCTGTAGTAAAACATGTAAAAATAGACTTGATTTTATACTTTTTCTATTTTCTGAATTGTATACGTACTTATAATTGTATTATTAATATCAGGGTAAGTATGTCTAATATCTTCCTATATATTAATTGAGAAATCATTTAAAAAACTTTTGCTAAATGTGTATTCATAGAAGAGTTCTCCAATTAATTATTTTAATTTGATTGGTTGATAAGTTTTTTTAATTTATATAATTATTTCATTTAGTTAAAAATAAATAAATCAAGAACTAACTTACATCAATAACCAAACACATCATACTAACCAATAATAGTTACCCTAATAGCGTCTTTAAGGAAATTGTATGATAGACGCTCGAATTTGTGTCATAAATTGTTTTTGTGCATTTAATAAAAGAAATATTTTACTACAAGAGATATTTAAAAACTTTCTTTTGAATATTTCTAAAATAACAGTAAAAATGCAGTTAATGGTTAGTAATTTCATTACTTATTCAGAATATAGATAATAATATACATAATATATATAATATAATTTAAAATAATAATAATATTGAATAACAAAGTTATATAAGATTTTCCATTAACAAATATAAATTTAATATTTACTGTAAAAGCTGGTAAGTGATTTGACCTTTTAAATGAGCTGTTTTTAAAAAAAAATATTATTGTCTGTTATATAGATAATTTAAAAATGAAATACAATAAGTAATTAGTAATTTCAGTAGTTTCGTATTGTATAGAAAATTAAATACAAATATGTACATATAATTAAATTTTAAATAAATGTTAAACTAATTGTAGATATCAAAAAGAAAAATTAAAATTACTTTTTATCAACAAACCTGTAAAAAGCTATATCGATTGTAACAATAGATAAAACATTATACATATTTAAAAATAAAATGATTAAAAAAATTTTCTTAAAACAACTTTGTTTTGCTTGTTATATAGATAACTAAAAATTAAAATAAAATTTCAGTTAATAGTTTTTGTTATTTTTGTATCTTATTGATTATTAATATAAAAAATATGTATATCATTTTTACTTAACTTATAAACCATATCAACGATATATAGGTGGTATGTATAAGTGTTTTCATTTATTAAAATTATTTTATTGTTCGTTTTTTTATATTTTTTATAAGCTTTCTAATAGCCAGAATTGTTTGGTTATTTGTATCAAATTTAAATTTTGTATGTTTGACATTAAATAAATAATATGCTGAATTAATTTAAGTGCTATTAACCGATGAAATTATTTTGTGATTTTAACAATTATTATCATGTAGATATCATCTTTAAAAAAATAGTATTTGTGCTATCATGTATATATTATTTCACAGTATATTATCTGATGTATAAACATGATATAATATTGATTGAATGAAATTCAAAATTGCATACGATATTTATTCAGAAAGGACAGTTGGAGCACATATTAAAAGAATATTACGATAGTTATTGATAAAATATTCTAATGAATATTACAAAATTATATTTTATATTATTTATTGTTATAAAATATTAAAATAATAAAATCTAAAATTGGGCTTCTTTCAAATATGACTCAAAACTTAAAATCAAACACAAAACCAACTCATGATTTTTTTGGAATTTTGACTTGTTATATTCACCCTAGAAGAACAATACCATTACCTTTTTTAAATGAAAATTAGTGTTTTACTCAATCATCCTCATCTTCATCAAGTATTCGCGAAAATATCATTATCATCAATTTACCTAACTACCATGAATAACCCATTTGAACCTCTTAATGCATCTAAAAATCAATATTCACTTATCCATATCTCATTTCTTATGCACACAAACTATAATTCTCTCAATTTCACTATATATTCATCCAAATATCCCAAGATGTTTGATTCTAAATTTTATAAGGTTCATATAGCCATTCAAACTAATGATTCTTTGTCGTTAACGATTGGGCTGTTTTCGTGGTGAAGTTCTATGTGTTTGGAGAAGCTAAGCAAGTCGTTAACTCTAAAGAAGTATTCTGGTCAATGCATATATTAGTTTTTAATTGACTTTTTGTATGTTTTTTTAGAAAACTTCTCTCGAGGTCTTCCAACTTTTCTTTTTTAACAAAAAAATAGAGAAGACTTCCATGGAAGTCTTCGAGGATAAATAAGTTAGTTTTGAAATTGACCGAACTGTCAGAAATTTGACTTTCTACAGATCGGAAGACTTCCAGTGAAGTCTTCTCAACTTTTACATGAAGTCTACTCACGGTCGATGGAAGTCTGCATAAGTTACTTAAATTTAAACTAAAAGACTCGGGAGTTCTTTCGCCTGAACATTTACCTAGATGTCTTCCAGATTTTTATTCTGTGATTCTGGTCAAAACTAAGGTAACAAAAGAAATTGAAGATGTTGGACCATTTTAGAGCATTGAAGAATGCTATCCTGAAAACTTAAGCTGGAGTCAGATTTTGTAGAAGACGTCAATCAACGGTACACCTTGTGCGTCGAT